ACCGTGCGTCTTAAAATCCAGTGCTCCGTATAGTGCGGAAAACGAAATAAACTGTCCGATTAAATATCGACATAGAGAGGTGAAACGCGATAGGTAGATAAAACAAACTGATATATGCCAGGTACGCATGTTTAGGGGAAAGGCAGGAGTTATCTATGCGAGCCCGTTCGACATACAGTAACAATCCGTCAAGCGGGATTAAAACTGCGGCGCACACGACACCAGTCAGTCATGCAGGGGGATAAGGGGTTGGGAAATTGCGGGTTAAGTCCATTATCGCTCCTTACCACAGCAGTGCGAGGTCTATCACGTGATTCAGCTGTTTACAGGGTTCTAGTTGCTTTTTCTACATATTGCGTCGGCCTCTCCAGTCATCACCCGACATACGACCTTAAATGCAGTCACTGAGTCCACCGTATGGCCGGTGTCCATCAGGTGCTTTGTTATTGAACTATTTCCCGCCTTCTTTTCTGCCCTTCGCAACCACTTCGGCATATGTTCAGCTGGCCCAGTTGCCAACTGTCTTTATGTTTGCCGCTCAATGTGCTTTCGTCCGCAACTAAATGCATCCGCATACTACATGCATAGGCAAAATGTATTTACTTGGTATTACTGAAATAGTCGTTGCAATGCTTATGGACAACAATTTGGTGACTGTGTACGTTCACTCATGCATCAAATCCTTCGCTTGGATAGGAGGTCGCGAAATTCTCTGAAGTCAATAAATGCTGTGCGCATTTCACCGCCTTTGCCTTTTTGAGATTTACTTTAAATTCAGGCTATACTTTACGAGGGAGTTTAAAAACACCGAGTAGAACTGATCTCTTTCAGTCCGTTGCATCTTGGTCGATTCACTTTTCCGCCCTTAGATGTCGTAGCCAGCTGTGTAAGTTTGTCTGCAGTTTAGCAAAGTCGCATGCAAGTTTTTCCTAAGGTGTACACCGAAGATCTCTTTGCACTTCACTTGAAAATGAATTAAAATTACTTTGTTTTTCTATTTCTCTCGAATTTCCTCCTCCCTTTTCCGTCTAGCATACCTTTTTCGGTTAACAAACATAAACCCAGTGATACCCTTTAAAGGTATTTTCGGACCGCAGTATTTCTTTGGCTAAAATTCAATCGGCTCGTCTTCGTTTTCGAACCGTTTTAACAATCAGCCCTACGATGTATATGTATCTATCTCGCCCCCACATTCGCGTACGGTTTTCGCTTCAGGGTCCGATTGCGCCTTGTGGATCACAATTAAGCGGTTTTTTAAACGTTTATCTTTATGGTGATACATTCTCACTTTAAAAGGACTTCCGTTCTCGAAAATAAAGTAACTGTTGTCCAGCGTGCAGTGTGGAATCTGATCAGTAGGTTGGGCCGACACTTTTTATGCACTTGCACTCGTACTTGCTACCCGAATGGAGTCATAGGCTCCCTTTTCTGCATTTTCGGTGCACTTCAACGTTTTCTTCTGTTTTGAGTCGTCGAAGGCCACCTTAACCCAATTGCGTTAGCTGCTATGGCCTGCTGACCCAATTAGCTTCCCATTCCTCCCAGCGCGCTCCCAGAATGTAAATGTGTATACCCCATTGGAATCGCCAAGAGCATTAAGAAATCAACGAGGAACGAAGGAACGTCGAGGTTTCGGTAGCAAACATGTCATCGGATTATTCGGTCGAAGTCCTCAGAACCTATATATTTAAGCTCAAGCCTAGTTTCCAGCTAAAGGCGGGGCCAATCAAAAGTGATGGAAGTGGATATGGCAACGGTAGAGTATGTAACTCCACCGGAGAAACAATGTGGATAACGCTGACCTCAATATCGAACCGTAACCCTAACCCCGATTCCTAACCCTAATTCTTACCCCAGACCCCCAACTAAAACCTCACCTCTAACCCTAAACGTGGAACCTTAATCCTAGTCTTATTTCCTCACCCTAAGATTCGAACCTTAATTACTGACCCTAACTCCAACTCTTAATCTTAAAAATCTCAAACCTAACCCTAGAATCCGCATCTCGACCCTAACACCATAATCCCACTTGTAAATCTTGAACTACAACCTCCTTCATGACCTATTTCCAAGCAAACCCATTTCCGGCAATTCACTTTGAGGTTTTTAAACTCAGGGTTCTGCATTATACTTTTATCGAATCGCCGCGCTTTTTTGATTATGTGTTTACTCCTCAGCTAGCAGTGGTCAGAGACACGGCAAATTAAGCTCTTGTAAAAACGACTGGGCTTGTAACTGGACTGAATCTTGCATAATACCTCCGGCGGGGAGGCTTTGATGCCATGAACTTTACAGTTTTCCGTCTGACATGCGGTCCACAGACCCTACTTGCTCGCTAGCTGCAGCTGTGATAAAGGCCTAAAGTTCAAGTTTTACGCCTCGCATTCGTAGGGCCTGGTCGCCTTATTTAAACCTACAACATAATAAAATTCCCTTCTGTAGAATCCTTCATAAAAACCAAAAAACAATTATATTACGTAACATGTTGTTGCTCTCCTGTGTGGCAGAAAATGTAGAGGCACCAAAGTATGCCAGACAAGCTCTCGCCTCAACTGTTTGTCACCCGATAAAAGCGAGACAATTCCCTCCTTTGCGAGAAGTTCTGGAGCGTTGTTCTAGTTCGCTCGACTTCGAAAATTATGCCTGGCTGACGGATGTTTGCGCGAATATTCACCCAATAGTAGACTGCGCTTGTTCACTCGATGTAAATGTAGGGCAAAGTCCTGGGGAAAACAAGTGTTTTTTTCTATCCCTCTGAGCGGTGCGTTGACAGTTGAGTCTGCTTGTCTCCTCTTACCATCCACCGTACTTCTGCCCTGGTAAATATATCCTCACGAGTCGACAGCTGCTGACAAATTGAACAAGGCATGTTCCCGTAAGATTCCATCAAGGAGGTCTGGGTGAATGTGTCCACCGGGACTGTCTTTGAGTTTTTTAACATTTGGCGGGCCTTTATCCCGTCCGATCCAGCCGGTCTCAGTGTTTCTGAGGTATCTTAGGCATTTCTGTTCCAGACGTGTTCCCAACGGTGGCCTGGCCGATTGCCTTTCCAAGTACATGACACATCGCTTTTGTGTGTTTCTGTAAGTACTCTTTCCGCTAAAAGTTAGGTCGGTCGCCCACCTTAGATGCCCCTAGCCCTTGATTTCTGTCTTACGGGACCGGTGGTATTATTTTCGTTCGCTCTTTACTTTATCAGTTTAATTTTGGTTTAATTTAGTTTTTGTTCTAGTTAGTTTTATTTAGTTTAATTAAGTTTAGTATATAGTAGTTAATTAAGTATGTTCATCGAACGCGGGCGGTTTCTAACTAAACTTAAAACTGAACTAAACTGAAACTTTGAGTTGACCCAATTGTGAAAAAAATAGAGGCGTTCGGCGGGATTTGAACCCGCGTATCAGAGAAGGCCTTTACCGGAAGCTAACGCTTTAACCGCTAAGCTACAAACACCCCGCCTCGCGCCCTGAATTTAATCACACTTGGGTCGAATATTACCCGCCCAACTTTACCGCTCACCAATACGGAACAGCAAGCTGACTGCCCAAGCAGGATTTCCTAAGCAATCCCTAGAATCCACCAGAATGACTACTAGGCTGACTTAATTATTAGGAGGTTTGGTAGATTTGCTTAATTTGAGTTATAGCTTAGCGGTTAGGGTGTTGGCTTCCAGTAAAGGCCTTCTCTGATACGCGGGTTCAAATCCCGCCGAACGCCTCTATTTTTTTCACAATTGCGTCAACTCAAATTAAGCAAATCTGCCAAACCTCCTAAGAATAAACTAAAACTAAAATTAAACTAATAAATTAAATAATAAACTAAAAAATAAACTAAGCTAAGACGACTCAAACTAAAAGTAACCATAGGTATCTAAGGTGGGCGACCAACTTTGCTTTTACCCTCTTTCCTTTGCCTCACTGTACGATGCAGATTTTGAAGAAATTCAAATAGCAGCTTGCCCTAGGGACCATAAGGTGGCCCAGGAGGGAACTGCAAGTCTCAGCCAAAACGAGAATGTTCTCTCAACAGTTAGTATAATCTTCAATTTTCAGTCCTCTTTATAATCTTTAAGGAATATACCGTAATAGGCCCCCTGTGCACACCTGTCCCTCCTCACTGTTTAATGTCCGTTCGCTCTTTTGACAGAATCTACGACCTAAAAACTTTCAAACTCCTGCACAGTATTCCTGCGCACGAAACCGAAATCCTCTGTCTTTCATACTTCCAATCGACCTCGGGTAAGTTTTATCCTTCCCTGGCTTTTGAACCTATGTACACTTAGGGGCTGCTTGTACCTTTTACCTGGAATTCCACTTGCATGTCATTAAGGATCATTCTGCGAAGGTTATGTACTTGTTTGTGACTCCATCTCGTCCACTTAAATGTAGTGCTTGTGTTTTTCGTTTCGCACATACGTTCTGTGGTAAATG